CCTTTAACTTCCTTTTTCTTAGGCAAGGTTAAAAACAATAGGACAAGTGGCAATTTTTTGTCTTCTGGTTAATATGCACACATACACGTAAGTATACATCAAAGTGATGGCTGCCAGAATAAAGATTTGGGCATTGGGAGTTAGTATTTAGAGCCTTTTGGATATGTGAAATTTGTTAAGCATTCAGTTTTCATTTTGCATTTAGAAGGTTGCAGCCTCCTTTGTTCAGCTGTTATGGTGCTCTTGAAAGAATATGCAGTGGGAGAGTGCCCTCTGCTGGCTGGCTGTCACTCCTTACTACCGCCGGTGTGGGAGCTAGAGGGCAGCTCAAGTGGTCATGCTTCCAGATCCTAGCAGGCTTCACACTGTCATATTACAAGCCCTTTAGGTCAAGCCTTAGGGGAATATTCCCAAATAGACTAGTCCCCAGCTCCTGTGCTCTGTGGCTCTTTTCTTTTCTGTAACCCTTGACTTTCCAGTACTGTCTGCTTGACTGACAACTGATACTTTGATGGAAGGGGAGAAGGTAGGTGTAGCCCAAGTGTGGACTCAGTGGAGCCTTTGTGTTTTAGCTATGACCCACTAAAGTCACCTCTTTACCAATACATGGTGTTGACAGATGCACAAAATGAATATGAGTTGAATATGTGTGTGGCAGCATTTTGAACCTTTGTACAGGAGGAATGTGTCCTACTTGTGGTCATCCTGCAGAAATCTTGACCTAGATGAATTCACATTTTGGTTTGGTTGGGGGGTTTAATTTTTGTGTTTGGAGTATTTTGTTTGTTTGTTTTATTTTATTTTGTTTGTTATTGTTTGTTTTTTCATTTTTATTTTGTCCCAACATTTTCCTTTATAGTCCACCATTAGATATTGATCAGTTGAAGCTCATTTTAAGACTCGTTGGAACCCCAGGGGCTGAGCTTTTGAAGAAAATCTCCTCAGAGTCTGTGAGTTGATGCTTTGATTGTAATTATCTGCCCTGTTGGGCGTCTCTGCCTCTTGCCTTATGCGGTCTGTACTTTGACCCTAGTATGTTTGTAAGCACGTGTGCACTTTGCGTGCTAACTTCCAAGATGAGGTATATCTGTGTGTACGTGTGTGTGCACACATCTGTGTGTGCATGCATGTGCCTGCTTGCATGCATGAGTGTGTTTTGCTCTCTCTGTTTGGGTATATACTTAGATCATGGGAACCTCCTGTGGGCAATTGTATCTTAGTAAAAATGAGATTTGAGATTCAAGTTCATTGCAAGAGTTTTATAGAAAATTTGTGTCTCTGTTTTCAAGCCCTGACTTCATCTCTCACAGAAATTTCACTTATATTCAAAAGCTCTGTTCACTTTTTGGTTAGTGTTCAGTCTCAAAGTATGAGCCTCACCATGTAAATTCATAACTAAAAGAATGAAATGGCGGGGGGTGAAATGTACATTGTCTATATCCTGTTGTCCCTTTCCAAAAGTTACTTGCTTTTTATTATTTTAGAGTTGACAACTCATACATCCTATACAAGGTGCATCTTCCCAACCGGCCTCCCTTTCCCTGCCGGTCCTCGGACCACTCAGAGGAAACACTGCTACTCCTGACTCTCAGACCCACTGGAGTACATTTGTAAATCCGTCCTCCCATAGCTCTCCTTGGTAATTACTAATTGACTAACCCAAGAAAAGACTTTAGAGCTAGTACTTTCCTTCTCTAAGCAGGGATTTAGACAGAAGCCGTGAGAATGTGTCTCTGGCTTAGTTTGGTTATGATTTCCTGCTATTGGTCATTTGGGGGACCAGAGATAGGAGAGAAGCTATGAAAGCCAGCCTTTTTCCCATTTTTCCCTCTATTGGCTGCCAGTGAATCAGACAAAAGGGGAATAAAGAGCCATGGAGCTCCAGCTTCACTTTTCTGGATTCTCCTTCCCACATTTCTGACAGAAGGGCCCTTTGCGCAGTTGGGAAGACTGCCAGGGGGTTCAGGCAGGCATGAACAGGTGAGTTTAACTGTTATCATGTCCCTGACAAAAAAGGACCATGATGCCCAGTACAGTTTTTCAGTTTCCACTCCAAGGGATGTAAAAGGATGTGCTGGTTCTGTTTCATTTTGTTTCATTTCCTCGATTAAGATAAGGAAGTAAGAACACAGAAAAGCTGTGACTTGCCCAAGTCATGCATTGAGTCATTTGGCAGTGCTGAGTACAGATCCCAGATGTTCTAATAACACGATCCAAACTGTAAATCTCATGTGATTGTATAGTATTTTGAAAATCATCAGCAGAACTATTGACCACAGTGTCAACCTGAAAGGTGTTTCTTTTCCTTTATGAAACAGCAGAAGCTGGATTAGAGTGAATCAAAGAAGAAATGAGATGATGCTTAGGATGGACAGGTGATTGTCGTTGTTTTAAAAGCATTTGCTTAGAAAGATTGTCAGTAAAAGGACAAGGGAGACAGAGGCTAGAAGAAGCTCAATTAATGAATAGTGCTAATGAGACTGAGATAGCAAATGAATTCCCTGGGAATGACTACTAGTAACTCTCTCAGTCCCTTCTCCCACCCTACCCGTCTGCTATTAGTTACAAGAAGTTCTGAAATGCAAAGTATGGGTAAAATTGTACTTATCTATCATTAATCCATCATTTATTTTAAAGAAAGAAATATTATTTACATAGCCTAATGATGAAATGTCTTTATCTTACATGAAAATGGGACACATCATATATTTCAACAGCACTAGTACACATTGGGTGTAATGAAATTGAGGTCCAGAATAAAGAACTTACTCAAATAATACCAGTATTGGGTATAGGAATAAGAAAGGACTTTTCCCCCTACACAGCTGTGGCAAGTGGGTAAAAGTAGTTTATTCAAAAAGGTAGGCAAGATTAACTTGATCTTAGTGACACTGTCCAAAGTTAGTGACCTTTTTGTCCTAAAAGCATATGGTGTGTGAAGTACAGAATGGAAAAATAACAAAGCCAGGTGAGTAAAACTATTCAAAGATTTTAAAAATTAAAAGAGACATTACATTACATATAGTAAACAGAAAGCAAGCAACTGCTTTCATTACCCCTGAAAAGTAATGAATAGTGGTGCCAACATTTTTTGAGGAAATTCAATCAATAAGTAATCAGAAATTCTGATTAAGAGACTACAGTAATGGCTAGGGAACAAGTTAGGTAAGGAGTAGATGGTCATGATGGATGCCTAAATATAGAATTTATTTAATTAGTATTCCAGCTCCTATAGTAACCAGTGAAAGCAAAAAAAATACTAAAAAAGCAAAGCCTGATTCACATTTTTCCTTAGAAATATAATCTGAATCTGACAGCAGGGGGATAAATCACCTATTTTGACTAAAGGAGACAAAAGCAGAACATGTACAGGCAAAGTACTGTTCACAGAAAGGAGAAGAGAAGTTGTTGGGAGTCTCATGGTTTAGACCTGACTCGTAACCTGCTCTTGCTGGTTTACTGTGTGAGCCCCCTTTTGTTATTTCTCTTGGCATGCAAAGTACTGTTGGTTATGCAGTTTGTTTAAAGTAAATCTACCATTTGTTGTGAGAATGCTTTTTTAATTTGCTGGCCTCTATCTTGGGGCCTATGGAGCAGGAAAGTAAGAGTGGAACACAGGGCCCCAGCTCTGTCCCCAGATCCAATCTCAAACTTGCATTAGCAGTAATTCGACCACTAGGGAGTTGAGTTCAGGAAATGAGCTGAAGTGGAAAAATTATTCAGGGAAGCCACTAAAAAGTGAAATTACTTGGCCATGGTTCTTGCTGAAGGTAATGCTTCAGCTGAAGGACAGAATTGATAGTTTCAAGACAGGGAATAGAAAAGGAGTCTATTGAATTATTTTGAAGGTTTAACAAATACTATCACTTCTACTTTCAGTAGGAATGCATAATAAACTGATAGTTTTTATCATATTTTGGAAGAAGGGATTTATGTTAATATTGGAAGCACAGTTAAAAGTGAAGTTTAGCTGGGTGCGGTGGCTCATGCCTGTAATTACAGACACTTAAGAGGCTGAGGCAGGAGGATCACAAGTTCAAACCATCCTCAGCAACTTATCAAGGCCTTAAGCGATTCAGTGAGACCCTGTCTCTAAATAAAATACAAAAAAAGGGCTGGTGATGTGGCTCAGTGGTTAAGCGCCCCTGTTCAATCCCTGGCACCAAAATAAATAAATAAATAACTGAAATTTGGAGTGCAGCTTAAATATGTGCTTGTATGTAAGGAAAACCTCACAGTTCTGCTGTTGCAGATGATTTCGGAACGTTTTGCCCATTTTCTCCCAGCTGTTTAAGTGAAGTTTATGTATTTACTCATTGGAGAGACTTAACAGGAATGATAATTGTGGCATGCTATGATACTGTCAGCGGCCTGTGACTTCTATTTTTGTCTTTGCCATTAGCCTCTAATGTCCCCCCATCTCCCCTTTCTTCACTTACCATTGTATGTTTTTGGCATGTATTTTAAATGTACTGTTACTAATGTCTTTGAAACTTATCAACCTACACTCCACTTGTACCTTCATTTGGAGAGGTGGTTCCTTGGAGAACTTGTACCATAAAATTTAAACTATTCCTTGAATGACTATATCAGATATTTTATCTTGTCTAAAGTTGAATCAAAATTCTCTCAATCATCTGTATTTATCTGACAGGCAAACAGGTGTTGGCTGTCAGTTACATGAAGTCAGTTCTCTGGCTGGCATCCTGGATCAAGGAGCAGTCTGTTTCCAGGGAATCTAAAATATTTAACCATAAAGATGATGTTAACATCAAAGAAAATTAATTTTTTTTATTTGCATGGCCATTCACTGACTACAGGCCTAATAACTCATGCCATTCACCAAAGCATGCTTTAACATGCAACCTTGGGCTCTGACCAAGGTGGGTGGGGAGTAGGTTTTTTGTTTTGAGGTGGCTTTTTGACCTTTCTTAAAATTTGAGTTGAAAGTTATTTTTTTGCACTGTATGTTTAACAATGCCCTTGACTAGGCATCTAAGATATTAACCAGCTTCAGCAGATTATGCGTCTGACGGGGACACCCCCTGCTTATCTCATTAACAGGATGCCAAGCCATGAGGTGAGAATAAATAGACTGTATAGGGGTATCTAATTCAGAAGACCACATCCTCATTTTATTGCCCCTGTATAACCAGCACAGTTTTTAATGTCACTGAATACTTGCATGTGCCTTGAGGATTACTAAGGCAGTGACCGCCTGTGTACTATTGCAGGTTGTTGACATTTGGGATAAAATATCATCTCATCGAGAATGAGAATATAATGTAGGCTTGTAAATAGAAAATGATGTTCCTTTTATTTAATTTTATGAATTTAGTGCTCAAGGGACTGTTTCTTCATAAGTCCTGTGCCTCTAGTTAGGGTATGACACCAGATGTGACTTCATCAGAGGCAGTTAACCAGAGATCATTAGCAGCTTTTTCTAGTGACCAAAAAAAGATGATTATCATTAATAATAAAAAAAACCTATCAAATACTCAGTACTAAGGGGTATACTATATTTAAAAGAAAATACACAAATAATATGAATACTTAGGTAGGGTTAGATGTTTTCTTTACTGATTCTTAACCATTTAAACTTACTCTAGTTTTGTCATCAGAGGTGACTGGGGCTACTGCTTTCTAAGGTGCCCTTATTATTTTGGGGAAGCAGGTTAGCATCACAGAAGGCCCTTTCCAATGGCTTTGTTTCTATTCCAGTTATATTCAGGCAGCCTTTTTATTCGTCTTTGTTAAAGGGATGACTGTTCTCTAGAGAGAGACAGGTCTTCTTACCTCTGTTTTCCCTTCCTCTTTTTGTCTACACACTCAAGTAGAAAGGGATTGCAACCATGTGTGTATACGACCAATTCCTATAACTTTCTTTTCAAATCAGAAAGATCACTGCTTTTCAATATCAACTCTAGCAGTTTTAGCTATTTAAGAAGGCTGATTTCAGAAAGGGCTACTTAGAACTGAATTCGTTAGCAGTCTTGTTCACGTGAAGTATAACTTAGAGCAGGAATATATAAAGGTGATGATTATAAGTGGAGAAGTTAGGGAGACAGTGAGAGAGAAGTCTTTAATATCAACAGTTGTCATCAACATTGGGCTTAGTGATCAGACTCTTAGTTAACACTCATCCCTTAATAGGACTTTTTAAGGGCAGTCACATTGTTGAACAAAGTCATTCTGAAGACCCTTGTTTTTACAGGCAAGAAACTATATTCAGTCTTTGACCCAGATGCCCAAGATGAACTTTGCAAATGTATTTATTGGTGCCAATCCCCTGGGTAAGTTGACCATATCCTCATTTCATGGTATTGAATTGGTTGTGAAAATTAGCAATTTGAAGAAGAGTTTCTCCTTTTGAACAAATAAAGTGCCACTAATTAAATCTTATTATCAGTGTTTGTATTGTTAGATTTTTTTATAAAATCACACTATATGTTTATGTATTTGTAGATCACAAATTTTGGTGAGGGAAATGGGCTGGTACAGTGAAGAAAAGAGAAAAAGTAATGGGAATCTTGGGAGAAAAGATTGGGGAGCAGGAAGAAAGAGGTACAGAAGAAAACCTGAGACTTGTACACAGCTGCCATTGATTTTTTTGGTGCCCCAAGTTGAGAATAGAATCAACTGAATTACATATGGGTGTTTAGCAGACCCTCCTGGGAGCTCCCTGCAGTGTTCTCTGCCCTGTTGGTAACTGTCCAGGGCTATGGGTCCTGATTGCCTCCACATTTGAATACTCTCCCCCTCACCTCTTCTTCCTCTGCCCCTCAAAGCTTAACCATTTTCTCTGTGTAGCTAATATGCCATCTCAAAATTTAAGGAATGGCTCCATATTCCTTCTGATCCCCCGTCACCTCAGGATTTTTGGCAAAAGGAAATGACAGCTGAAAATATGTATTTTCTTGGCTAACAAAGGGGTTCCTCTAGTAAAGCCGGGATCTGATGTGTATTTCAGATGATGTCAGAAAGCAGTTTTACCTGAGGCTCTGATTCCTGACTCTAGGAGGGTGTAGTGGATAGTGATGTTTAATGCTAGATGCAGAAGGATAGACCAGGACCTGCCTAGGGTAGGGAGGGGAGTGGTGCTGACAGCCAGCATAATCCGCCTTCCCACTTCACTGAAGATTACATTATAGGGGTAGGTCTTTCGTCTCTGTGTGTTAAGTCTCCGTGGGTCATCTCTCTGTGTGAGGGTCCTGGTGGCTGTGCTTCAAGTTTAGTTTTACCCTTTTGAGGACTGACAGCTGTGGTGACCTCTTCAGAAGCTGGGGTAAAAGCTAGGTAGTTTACCTTTTGAAGTACTTTATAGTGACTGAAGAGTCTCAGTGTGGCTGCAGTAATTCTTACAATATGAAGCACATGCTTTTTGAAGCATTGGGCAGTTATGGATGAATTCATGTCAGCCTTGGAGATAGAGAGTATGTCAGATCTCGGGTGGCTCAGTCTCTTGTTCAAGGATGAATCCGTAGGTCATCATGGGTATGGCTTAGTTTAGCATCTACCCTGGCATGCTGTCATTGGGCTTTGGGTGATTTATTTGAGCCATATTATCTAGTTCAAGGATCTATGAGAGGCTCTCTATAAGCCATAAGTACTCCAGGAGGCTGTGGAAAGGGAGAAGATGTGTACTGGTAGCTTTCTTGTCTGTCCTTCCATCCTGATTTTTTTCATCTTACCAGCCCCAAGTTTTAGACATGGCAGTGCTTACTGTCAGCCTCTCTGTTAACAGACTCAAAAAAGATTTCTTTTTATTTATTTATTTTTTTTTTTTAGTTTTAGATGGAACAATATCTTTATTTATTTATTTTTATGTGGTGCTGAGAATCGAACCCAGGGCCTCACACATGCGAGGCAAGTGCTCTACCACTGAGCTACAATCCCAGCCCTCAAAAAAGACTTCTTAATTCCATTTTCTGGAGGAGGGAAGATGCGTGTGTCCTGCAGCTTATTTAGGTCATTACATTCTCTGGAACCATGACATTTAAACAGTGAAAAGAACTAGATGCCACTTAGCAATACAGACTGCTAACGAGTCAAATGGAAGCTTTGGCCCATCTGGTGCTCAACACTGTGTTTCTCAGAGTTCAGACATTTCTTACAGCCTGTTGCCCAACAGTGCTAGACTAGTAGAGTCTCCCTTGCCTGGCGGGCAGACGTGGTGTAACTGATCACAAGCTTGTACCCATGATATCAGCTAAGCAGGAGGGCACCAAGGATCTAAATATTGACAGCTGTGTTGTCAGTCACTGACTTCCTCTCCCTCTTCTTTCCAAAATGCAAATTAAAACTTAAACTGCCTTTGTTGTTATTTATATCTATCAAGATCTTTGAGGGGCTGGAATTATGGCTCAGTGGCAGAGTACTTGCCTCGCATATGTGAGGCACTGGGTTCGATCCTCAGCACCACATAAAAATGAATAAAAAAAATAAAGATATTGTGTCCATGTATAACTAAAAATATTTTTTAAAAGATCTTTGAGAAATATATTTTCTTATCTCTAACCTTATTACTCATCAAAGTATTGGTTTTGAGGACATGGCACTTTCTACCCTCAAATTACCCTGTAATCCATGTTCAGTTTTAAAACTCAAAAGATTTCTTTTTCTAAGAAGAAAAGAATATGGTAAGAATATATATCCAGGCAGTCCTCCCAGTACTTCAAAGTATAAGCTTAGGAAGTTGAACCAACACATGGACATTCACTTTGTTTCTGTATCCTCCTGAAACCCATGTTTTCCTGTGTTTACTCTGGACTCAGGCTGGAAGACGGGTTTTCACAGCCTCCAGTTACACAACAGTTGATCTCTTCTGGAAGCTGTCCTCCTCTTTAGTACCCATCCCCGCCCTCTCCACATTTAAGAAGAGATTTTTGCAAAGTCTCAAAAACCCTGCTTCACCAGAGTTACCACCGTGGCCATCTACCCCAGTGCCAAGACTCAGAGCATCCTTGTCAGATAGATGAGAAGCATCACCACTTTGTACCTCCTAATGAAATCACTGCCTTTGGGAATGAAAATCAGTAGATGCTAAAAGCCATGTGAAAAGAACTGATTTTCACCTGGTGCCAAAATGCCCTCAGATTACTTACTTGGGGAAAAGGGGAAACATTTTAACCCACTGATGAAATTTCACACCATTAACAGTTGGACAAATAGCCTTAAAGGCACTCTCAAGTACACAGCATCACCTGTGACTCATTCTTGCAAAAAATGTCTAACCTGATTCTTACCAATGTTTTAGATATAACTTTTGGATTTGGGGAAATTGAGGGGATAGAGAAAAGCAAAGGTATAGGTACATGTTAGCACAAAGAAGGAACCTGACCATTCCTAACAGGTATTCTAAGACAACTAGAGTGTCTTTCCAGATCAAAAACAGGAAGAAACGGGTTAGAAGAGATTTTTTTTCTAGATTGAGAGACTATAGAAACCAAGTCAAATGCAATGCATGGTCTATAACTGAATTCTGGTTTCAACAAATGATCTGTAAAAGGCGACTTTAACATAATTTGAGGACTTTTAACATAAACAGGATTTTAAATGATGTTTGGAAATCACTCAGTATAACAACAGTATTATGGTTATGTAGGAAGATGTTTTTGTTCTAAAATATATAAAGTATTATCTATAATTTTAAAACAGTTCATAAAATAATACATATATACAAAATATAAAATGTAAATTGTTGAATTCGCATGGGGTGGGGCACATGTGAGTATCCACTGTACTGTAGTTTTTATTCTGTATGTTTGAAATTTTTCGTAGTGAAAATTTAAAAAGTAAAATTCCCTTTTTGGGACTGGGACTGAAAGTTAGTGGTAGAGCACTTGCCTAGACATGTGAGGCACTGGTCTCATCTTCAGCATTAATTAATAAATAATAAATTTATAATTAATGATTATGAATAATTAATAATAATTAATAAAGTTATTGTCCACATATAACTAAAAAATTTAACTTCCCTTTTTTTCACTTCAATTTTACCTCAATAAAGCTATGGAAAAAAATTAAAAATAAATGAATTCCCTTTTTTTCTTTAGTATTATTATTATTTTATTTTTATATGCAGTGCTGGGGATCAAACACAAGGCCTCCTGCATGCTAGGCAAACAATCTACCATTAAGCCACACTCCCAGCCAGAAATGTACTCTAAAAATACAAAATACAAACACACACACAAAAGAAAGAAGGGATAATATATCCTAAATCAGATACTTTGGAGAATTTTTTGTTTGGATATAAAGGGTAAAAACTGTGTTTGCTTATTACTAAAGCATAATTTTGATAACATGTTAAAAAGTCTCCATTTTTCCTTCCAATCTCTGATACTGAAAGCTGTCGACTTGCTGGAGAAGATGCTTGTATTGGACTCAGATAAGAGAATTACTGCAGCCCAAGCCCTTGCACACGCCTACTTTGCTCAGTATCATGATCCTGATGATGAACCAGTGGCCGATCCTTACGATCAGTCTTTTGAAAGCAGGGACCTCCTAATAGATGAGTGGAAAAGTAAGTCCTAAGAGTAAGATAAACGTGTACCTTGAGAACTTACATTTAAATATCTTTTCTAGGTAAACCACTAACCAAATGCCATGGGAAAAATCAAAATTCATGAATGGTTATAGTCAACTCATTGAAACTTATAGTTGAGATCCCTAGTGCAGAATAAATTTATTCTCTGATGGACTCTGTCTGTTGTAGATGACCACACTCTCTGGACCTTTGAAATGATTCTCCGAGTTTTTGCATTGATCATATCTCAAGATAAGTAAAGAATAGAGTGATTTTACAGTTTTATAATTGATAGAACTGAAGCAAAGAGAGTTTATTATCTATTGCTTTAACTTCATTAAGGACACAGCCAGGAATGGAACCCACGTCTCCTGTGTCCATTCTCACAATCTTTCCATAAAATATAAGTTCAGAACTCTAGTTAAATCTCAGAAGCCAGGACTGTCTGCTACAGCAATGAGTGCTCTGTTTTCCTTGAGCACTTTTCCCAGAGAGTTTTTAAAAAGAAGAGACACACAGCCATGAGACAAATGAGAAGAAATGGTTCTCATACATGTATCCTTGAGCTTCTGTGTAATCGTGTGTTTCACCAGGATTACACAAGTAATGAGGAAGTTCTTTGAAGTAGCTCAACCAACCACTGAATGGGAGGAAGCTGAGCTTAAAGCCTGCCAGCAAAAAGAAGAGTCTAAACTCTCACATGTTACTTTTCCTCCCCACCTTCCAGGCCTGACCTATGATGAAGTCATCAGCTTTGTGCCGCCGCCCCTTGACCAAGAAGAGATGGAGTCCTGAGCGCCTGGTTTCTGTTGTTGATCCCACTTCACTGTGAGGGGAAGGCCTTTTCATGGGAACTCTCCAAATATCATTCAAGTGCCTCTTGTTGCAAAGATTTCCTCCATGGTGGAAGGGGTGCGTGTGTGTGCGTGCAGCGTGCATGTGTGTGTGTTAATGTGTGTGCATGTGCGTGTCTGTCTTTGTGGAAGAGTAACATAATCTGAGCAAACTATGATCACAGTGACTTTACATGGAGTTGTGGATGCTCCGAGGCAGCCTCTGCCTGCTCTTTCTGAATGTCGGCTCAGGTAGATAAGAGCTGCCATCTTGTTAAGGATATGTTAAATGCAAGGAAAAAAAATTTAAATGTCCCCTATTCTGGTCATGCTTTTGCCACTTTGGCCTCTCCTGTGGCCCCACCTTGATGGTAGGGGGGTAGACTAGATCACAACCACAGTGGCATAGAAAGAAGGCTCGAACCTTCTGACTGCCCCCCAGCGACGCAGACAGCCAAAAAGGACCAACTGGCTGCCGTGTACCAGCCTGTGAGTAACTTGCTTAGTATGGGCCTCAGAACTTGAGAGAATACGTCTGAAACTGTAAATATGTTTGTGCCTTAAGAGGAGAGAAGAAAGTGTAGTTGGTTAAAAGACCACAGCTGCTGAAGTTCTGAGCCAGGCAAGTAGACAGGGCTGTGAGCCAGGAGTAACCAGGCAGCTTCTGAGGCGGCCACGTGTGCGCATGCATATATGTGCTTTTCTTTCTCACTGACCCCCAGGTGTTGTTGCCATTTCTCTGCTCACCCCTCACCTTTTGTGCAGAGGTCTCTTGAGTATTGGCCCCAGCAGTCAGATGCAAGTTCCTGCTCTCGGTGCGCTTCCTGTGTGCTCTTTATTTCTAGCAGAGTGAGGATGTGTCTTGCACGTCTCGCTGTTTGAGCATGCACAGCTGCTCGTCCCGTTCTCTTCAGGAGGCCCTGGGCCAGGCAAGTCTGCCGGTGAAGATCTGTTTGGGTAGTCAAGCCCTGTGTCACCTTAGCTGATGCTATGAAAGTGACTTCATCCTCTCTTCGGCCCCCAGCGCTATTTTGTGTTGAACACAATTGATACTCCAGGTGCTCTTGATGTAAAAAAAACCATGGGAAAAAAAGTGGAATAGATGGATGTATAGCATTTTCAGTCTTGCTGTCTGATTTTCAACAGACTTTTGGGGAACTATCATGGACAAGACGAGGGCTTTTCCCAGGAATATCCCAAACTTTGGAAAATTAGTTGTTCTCTTTACTCCCAATAGCCAGTGCTGAAAATCAAAATGAAAAATGAAAGCTCATGAGGCCAGAAACTCCTTTTGCTATCTTTCTCTAAATATGTTTATTAAAAAAAATAAAACAGTCACAAGGTGTCTTTTCCACCCCTCTATGGAAAAGGGTCTTCTAGGCAGCTTAACATTGATTAATTTCTTGATCTTGGTTTGGGGAGAAATAAATTTTGTTTCAGAATTTTGTATTTTGCAGGAATCCTTTGAGAATGTGATTCCTTTTGATGGGGGAGAAAGGGCAAATTATTTTGATATTTTGTATTTTCACCTTTATAAAGATGAATATCCTCAGGGGTGGAGAAGAATCATTTTCATAATTTTCTGAATTTCAGGCATTTTGTGCTTCACAAGGGCCCGTGTATTTAAGCTTTCTGTGTGATAAGGAAGTGAAAAGCCAATTCTAGCGTTGGCTATGTGACAAATCTTGTATTTAGGCCAAGGTGTCTCCATTCTCTATTTGTGCAGTGACATACGTGCTCCAGAGGGACAGGGTAGAGCCCCTGAGTCAACTGGAGACAGAAGGAAGGAGCAGGCTGATGGTGAGTCCACCTCACCTGGGATTCTGCTCCCTTTAAAGGAAAGTGAACGTCTCCTTTATATGTAGTTCAAATCCTTACCATCTGCAGCAAGATGAATTTCATCAGCCATGTTTGGTTATAATGCTAGTGTGATTTCCTACAGAAATACTGCTCTGAATATTTTATTTAAAAAAACAAAAAAGGGGGGGTTTGCACATGTGACCACATACGTGTTAGGAAGCTGAGTGCTCCCGGAGCCTGGACTCTGACTGGAGCCAGTGGAAGAGCTCCTGGAATTCTGAGCAAGATGCTCCCATCTCCTGATTTCTCTAAACAGAAGACAAAAGAGACAGAGGGAAACTGCTATTTTATCTGTGTTCATAAACTCGGCTGTAATCATTTATGCCATATAGGATGTCAGGTAACACCACTGGTAAAAATAAAGCCTATTTTTCAAATTCAGTGAGTTTCTCAGATTTATTGTTTTTTTGATTGTTTTTATTTAGTGCACAATATGGCATTGTGTAAATGTTCTTTCAACTGTGGCCTGGCATTCATTTCTGGCAGATCTTACTATTGGTCCTAAAATTTAGACAATATTTAGAGCGCTCCTTAGTTGTACATCTATGGTCAAAAGAATCTGGATCTTGGATGTGGATGGGTAGAGCAAAGAGCAAATAAGGTATTACTCAGAAGGGTCTGCATCACATTTGTGTGTAAAAGTGGCATGGGACAGGGGTCAACAAACTGACCCAAGGGCTAAATCCCACCCACCACCTGTTTTTGTGTAGCCTGCAAAGTATGGTTTTTACATTTTTAAATGGTTGAAAAAGATCAAAAGAAGATTATTTTTTGTAGCATGTGAAAAATAATGTAAAATTCAAATCTCAGTGTCCATAAATAAAGTTTATCGGAATATAACCACCCTCATTTGTTTACATATTGTCTGTGGCTGCTTTTGTGCTACAGTGACAGTTGAGTAGTTGCAACAGAGACCACAGAGATTACAAAATGCAAACTAGTTACCATTTGGCCCTTTACAGACATTGACTGACTGATTGTTGGCCTAGAGCTTCAATTTCCACATGTTTAGAAAATGAAATCAACTTGGTCATTCTAAGACTACAAACAGTATATTTTTATTTTTTAAAATTGCTAAAGAGGAGGTTGAATGTGTATATATCTGCATAACATAATTTATAAAGCTTTTAGGCAAATGTGTTTTATGACTGTACTTTGTCTTAATGGCCCTTAAAAATACTCTACAGAACTACTAAATTGCATCATAAGGGGCATGGGGTCTCACAGAAAAGTTCTCAGAGTCCTTACTGATATGCTTCCTTTCTCAGTGTCCTAGGAATGACACCTGACAGATCCCTCAGGGGGATTGTGAGGCCCAGCCTGGGAGGATCTTGAGAGTGTGAACTTGGGTTTTTCCCTCCTGTGATGGCCAGTCCTTGGCTGGCCACTGAGGATAATGGCAGAGATAGAGAGCAAATCAACCACAGCCTCCATTCCTGCCCTAAGAGAAAAGGACCCAAATTGTCACATGAGGTACAAGGGTTTGTTCCTCCAGTGAAACCAATATTGCAAAAATATATTTTGCAAAATGGATTATGCCTTTTCAGTGGCTCAGGAGGCTGAGGTAGGGGGATGGAAAATTCAAAGGCAGCTTCAGCAAAAATGAGGGGCTAAGCAATTCGTGAGATACTATCTCTAAATAAAATATAAAATAGAGCTGTGGATGTGGCTCAGTGGTTGAATATGCCTGAGTTTAATAGCTGGTACCAAAAAAAAAAGGTTACCACGTGTGGTAGTACATGCCTACAATCCCAGCCATTTGGGAGGCTGAGGCAGGAGGATTGCAAGTTCAAGGCCAGCCTGAGCAACTTAGCAAGATGCTGTCTCAAAAAATAAAAAAAGGTGTGGTGGAGCACTTGCCTGGCATGTGTGAGGCACTGGGTTCAATTCTCAGCACCACATATAAATAAAAATAAAGGTACACTGACGACTAAAAAATAGATTTAAATAAAAACAAAAGGGCTGGGGATGTGGCTCAGTGGTAAAGCACCCTTGGGTTCAATAACCAGTACCAGACACACTCCCCAAAAGTTGAGGGTTTCTTCAGTTTTGTGTAGGGCTCTCAATCTCCTCATCATCACAGTGTCCTTTTTTACGGCTGTTGGCACCTACCTCATCACCTTTCCCTTTATTGTTGACTGGCCTGAGTCTACAGATCTCCATTTTTCAGAGACTTTGCTTGATATTTGAGCAGTTTTCTAGCATTTATCAACTTCATCCAATCCATATCGTTTGTAAGACTTGTGATTATTCCAGTTAATCTGCACTGTATTTGCATCATTTGTCATGTGTTCACAATAGAGCCTTACACACCAAGAGAAGACTAGAATTCAAGGGGCAGGATACACTCTGGGTTTAGATACTTATGAAGCAAGGACTATAGAGAAGTAGTCAATTCATTCATGAATGTCTCCATGTTGTAGTGACTTTCACTTCTCTATACAACCTGGTAGCTACAAGGCTTTTGTTAATGAATATGCTGATAATGAAGGCCCCTTTTATCCACAATTCAGTATGTTTTAATAACATACGTAGCATTTAGACTTCCAGAAGTCCTCACGGGTGCACAAAAGTGATGGTCAGTGCCACATTCTTTGTACTAGCAAAACGTTGTAGGTAACCTAAATGTCTATCAATAAGGACTCGATTGACTAAGATGGACATCTGGGCAGTGGAATAGCCTAGCATGCAGCTAGGCATGTGTGAATGTGCTAGGTGCATTACAAAGGACAAAAAGTAAGTGGCAAATTATAGTATACTCTTACCCATTTATTATTGATAGAAAATACAAGTTGAGTATCAGTCAGCGTTCCATTACTGTAACAAACTGACTTGGGTAAACAACTTAAAAGGAGGAAAGATTTATTTTGGCTCACATATTCAGAGGTCACTTAGCCCCAACATTTTGGACCTGTGGCAAGGCAGACATATCTTGGTGGGGAATATGTAGTACAGCCAAGCTGCTTACTCCATGGGAGGAAGAAAGAGAGGGTGAGGCAGGATTCTAATAGACCCTTCAAGGACACACCCAGTGGCTACTTCCTCCAACTAGGCTCCATGTCCTAAGTGTCCACTATCTCCCAATACTGCCATCCACAGGAGACAAAACCTTCAACACATGAGACTTGGGGGGACATTAAGATCAAACCAAGCCAGTATACCTTATCGAAAATGATTGGGATTAGAAGTATTTCAAGTTTTGTAATATTTGCATAGACTTTACTAGTGTACCCAACCTAATCCAAAAATCAGAAATCTAAGGCTTTTGAGGGTCAAGTATGACATTCCAACATGACAGCGTTTCAGGTTTTCGGATTACATATGCTCCATCTGCACATGGCTGGGAAAAACTTAGAGGCACACCCTCTTATGTTGCTATTGACCATCCCTAGAGAGTGGAATTGTGTGCTCTTAACATTTTATGCTATTTATCTAATGTTTATTTTTTAAATACTGTGGAATTTGGGAGTTTTATTGTTTTGTTTTGTGGGGTGGTAATCAGAAACTTTTTTTTTTTCTGATGCAAAAGAGTTTTAAAATTCTGTGTGACCTGAGAGGCCATTGCTAATTTCAGTTTTTCCTGTTAGAACCAGCTTTTCAAGACAGAACATACTAGTAATGGATTGTGCCCAGCCGTCAGGCCTCTGGCAGGCAGAGTTCTCCCACTACTTTGGCGGCTTCTCCACCCAGCTGGGAGGACTCGATGGTTTCTTCCCCACTGGGAGGTTGTATTTTAAGGAGGCAGGATATTGACATCTTGGGCACTAACTGTGGCACTATTGACATCTTGGGGTCAGGTAATCCTTTGTTGTGAGGGACTGTCCTGTGCATTGTAGGGTGTTAGGGAGTACCCCTGGCCTCTGCCTCCTGGATGCCAGTAGCACACATGTTCCCTTCCACCTGTTGTAACAGCCATAGATCCCTCTAGATGTTACCAAATGTCCTGCAGTTGGCAAGATCATCCTCGGTTGAAAATCACTCATCTAAAGCTTCCTCCCTCTCATCTGACAGAGTACCCAAGCCCCTTTTCTTGAAAAATATAATTAAGAGTTAACTCTCACTAACCAGTTGTAACATAAAGAAGTGGTTTGGTATCTTGGAAGGAAAGTACAAATTTGAATGGCCCTTGTAAAGACTGGAGTAGATCATTTTGGGGGAAAAGGAAGATGTTTAGTTCAGAGGAAAGTTCAGTACCAGGTTAAGGCCATTTCATTTCTCAACAAAACAAAGCAGTGGAGGTGGGAGTGGAGTGAACTAAGCCGTCCTTTTTTCAGAAGCTCTTTGGCCATAGCCACAGAAAAGCTGGAGATTAAAGTGGAGTATGACTACAGGGTTTTCTTAGGCTGATTATGGAGTACCGTGAATACTGGGTTGTGAAGCCTCAGACCTGGGTTCAAATTTTAGTTTGACCTCTTGTCAAGTAGGTAACCTTGGAATAATAGTTTCTAGCTTTCAGGTGATTGCAAAGAGGAAATGAAATGAATTTCAGTGTGCCTGTTCTGTTGTGCACACTCAAGATCCTGGTTAGGTTGCATCTCACTTGAGTTGACATTGACATTGAGACCATCCTGTTAGGGTGAGTTTGGGGTGCTCTATGGCCAGGAACAGTGTCAGCCTGGAGAACCAATTGGGAGCAGAGCTCCTGAGGACTAGTTAGTCCAGAGGCCGTTTATGGAAATTGCCTGATACTGAAACTAGAAGTTGTGGTCTGAGGACTCATAGCCAGTCGGATTCTCTTGTATTGTGAATCTACTTGAAGCTGACAAGAGTTGAATAAGGAAGTTGCCTTAAATCCAATATTGTAACCGAAGAATAAGATTATGTCACCACCTTTTGAGTGTCAGTTGTGGCAAGGGATAAAAAGATGTAAAACCCTAGGCCCAGCCTAGATCCTTGACAGTGACCGGCAGTTCTCAGCCCCATTGGATTCAACACCCTCTGCGTAATTAATATTTCATAACATCCCTTATATAAATCCTGAGGCAAAAGTCATATATAATTCATGTAATCATGGTTTCAACAAAAATACAATGATCTAATATAAATGATGAATAAAGAAAAACACAAACATTTCAGTATGTAGATGCTTAAGCAAAACAACATTAAAGGCATAATAAAGCAGTTATGTCTCCTGCTCCTGTAGACCATCACCTTGACTATGACAGCGGTAAGTGCAGAGCAAGGTAATTGTGTTGCTTTGGCAACTCAAATGCCGTGACTGACAGTAGTCATGATTTTCTGGAATTGGTAAACACTTCTTGGTAAAATTTCAAACAAAACAATTTTTATAATATTTGAATTTACTCAGTTGCACGCCTGGGAAATTTAGTATGTGAATACAAAAAAATATATATTTGTTTTCTTTGTAAAATCAAGTTACA